AGTGAGTTATGTGAGAATATTTATCGTAAGACTCTGTGAGAATCCGTGTTGGTGTGGAGCCTTATGCAAGACAGGTGACGTATTCTTACATCAAGAGGAAAATTAACTTACGATTTTCTTAGACTCTAGGAGGTAATAGGGAGTGGGTCAGTGGAGGTGTGAGGTGTTGGAGGTAGAGGGGGGGAGAGAGAGATCAGTGTTGGAGGTAATAAGATAGGGGGAGAGGAAGTCAGTGAGTCAGAGTGTTGGAGGTGACAGTGGATGGTGATGGAGGAAGGGAGTCGATGTGTGCAGCCAGCAGTTACTTAACTCTCCAGGGGACACACACACACACACACACACACACACACACACACACACTGTTTAATGGTACAGTATTCGCTTTGTCATGGCAGCTGTTTGATTCTTCTTCTTCTTCTTCTTCATAAATTTGTCATGTTTTCATATTGTCCTAAAATCTGTTCTCTCTCTCTCTCTCTCTCTCTCTCTCTCTCTCTCTCTCTCTCTCTCTCTCTCTCTCTCTCTCTCTCTCTCTCTCTCTCTCTCATTTTACCATAAGAAAAACAAGAAAATAACATTAAATACATCGACTCAAAATAGTACCCCATAGACCACTCAAATTCCCCAATAAGTAGGTCACAAAACTTATGTACTTAAGTAGCTTGGTCGTGTTTGGCTCAAGGCTTGTGAGGCCCTTAGGAACTAGGGCAACGTGGCCCCCTTGGCTCGCTTTGAAGGAGGTTGATAGAGCCCTAGATCCTCCTCACCCTTGTTGACGTCTATTGGTTGACAGTACTTTATCTGATTTGGTTGATATCACCTGATTTTTTTTTTAATTAATGTTTAACTTGGTAACTTTTTGTTTACATCCATCAGCTGATCTTTGCCTTGCCAGTTGACTTTGTTTACATACACCAGCTGACTTTTGTTTACATCCATCAGCTGATCTTTGCCTTGCCAGTTGACTTTGTTTACATACACCAGCTGACTTTTGTTGACAGTCATCATCTGTTGTAACATCTGCTCTACACTGACCACATACACAGGGCGAGAACACCGCTAAAACACACTCACAGTACAGACCAAGAACTTCAACGAATAGATCGGAAATTACCATTGGTTAGCATTGAACACCAGTGACTTGTATATTTACATTGGATACAGTTACATTGGAGACAGTTACGTTGATACCACCAACTAGTATGTACGTTACGGTGCTCCACTGTGTACACCACCGACCTAGTGTACACCACCGACCTAGTGTACACCACCCACCGAGTGTACACCACCCACCCAGTGTACAGTTACAGACAGGTGTTGGCAATAGACAGGTGGCAGGTGTGTTAGATATATGAATTATATTTAATGATACAACTGACTGGAGAACTGACATAACTGCTGTACTTAACTTCGCTCCGTTACTAAACCACGATTTTTGGCCACTTCATTACTCTGAAACACAAGAACACGATGATTTGATCGTTAGTAAATTTATAACACCAACTTAAAACACAGGACAAGTATATTTCATAGTTAAACATCGTGATTCTTATTCAGTCGATTTCCCGATTCTGGTTTTCATCCGATGTTGATCTCACCAGGAGGCGGAAGTGTGACTAAGTAAATATTGTTTTTTTAATTATTCATATATTTTCCTCTTTCGCCGTTACTGAGAGAGAACACGTGTAGTATTGGGTCTAATTCCCATATTATTTATCATCGTTATCTGTGTGGCAGCCTGAGTGAGACAGATTCGTTCTCATATCCGCATTATGGATATCAATTCACTAGAGTCGGTGCAGCGAAGAATGACCAAAATGATTCCGGGACTTAGAAACCTTCCATATCAGGATAGGTTAAAGAAACTTAACTTGCATTCCCTAGAAAGACGAAGAGTGCGGGGAGATATGATAGAAGTATTTAAGTGGGTGAAAGGAATCAATAAAGGGGATATAGATAAAGTTCTTATAATATCCGAGCAGGATAGGACTCGGAGCAACGGATTCAAGTTGGATAAGTTTAGGTTTAGGAGGGAGATAGGAAGAAACTGGTTCACAAATAGGGTGGTGGACGAGTGGAACAAGCTTAGCAACTTTGTAGTAAGTGCGGGAACTCTGGAAAGTTTCAAAAGGAGGCTAGATAGATTCATGGATGATAGAGAGTGGTAGAAACTCTCGACAGGAGCTGCCATGCACATTGCACAGGCCAACCGGCCTATTGCAGACTCCTTATTTTCTTATGTTCTTATGTTCTTATTAGAGGTGACAATTTAACCCACACATCTCTGAGAATTCATCTTTGTATCGTAGCTTTAAGTGAGCCATTTAGACACGTTATCTCGTTAAAGTACCAACAATCGATTTTTTTTATAATTGAATTAGTTACGTTTTCACATGTCCATTTGGGGAATAATTTAACGTATTATCCTTTGAGAATTAGAATTTTTTGTCGTAGAAGTCATAAACTAATATGGTTTGTCATCTCTCAGAATTAATTAGATATGACGCGTAAATAATTAATCCCGATGTAGTAGCAGAAGGTAATTAGTTAGATACATCTTCACTACGGGAGAAATATTTCCGTAAGAACCTTTAAGAATCAGGACCATCATTATTTTGAGTATAATGGAAGGTCGTCCCCATACGCCTTGATCTTCACTATTTTTCACGTTAATAGTTGAATAATAATGACTAATAATAATAATAATGGTAATAAAAAAATAATAACAGTTGTATCATAATTACACCACAAATTACGTTATCTACAACAACAGTCTAAGTCCTTAAAACTTATAAAAGTATAGAAAGTAGGAGAAGTAACGTGGACAGATGTCGTGTAGTGTTTCAGAAAGTTCATTACGAATTCCTGTTTCACTTGTAAAAGTATATGGAGGGAAGAAACGTGAATGGACACCTATGTAATATTTAAGTGAACTTGGAAACCGATTAATATTTCAATTTTACTTTACTTTATCTCGAAATTGCAGTACTTAAAAAACTATTAATTAATCCCGTTGTACTTTTTCACTTCATAATACAAATAACTTAGAAAATTCATAAACTAATTGGGTTCTTTCCACCGTACAAAACCACTGACAGCATTAAAAAAATGTAAGGTTAGTGAGATAACTTTTAATCACAACTCACTTTTATGCCGTAAGTAAGTAGAAGAGAATTTTATAAGTGTGTTGTCGAGTCCGTGTAGAATATAGAGAATCCTGTTGATAATTACACGAGAGAAGCCCTGAGGGAAGGCAGACACCGCGGCACTTGTTTACTGGGCGGAAACGTCTCGTCTTCCGGGTGTGTGGAGGCTAATCACAGTCGCTTTGCTCGGTGCCTCTTTACATCTTTAAAACCCTCGTATTTAGAGCAATTACTCCTTTATCTTGACAGCTGGGGTGAATACAGTGAAATATTTAGTAGCTGGCATAAGCGGTGACATAAGGCCTTTGTTGTGTGTGACTCACTCGTATGACAAGGCGTGTGAAGGAAATTTTACGAGAGAGTGATATCCATGTCGGGTAATGATTCATGTTTCCTCAATTCATCACTGGCCTGCATGGGTTCCAGTATTATACCCTACGTGTTTGTGACCACCAAAGGCTTGATGTTATTTGTGGTTGTTATAGCATTTTTAATTATGTAAGCGCAGTAAGGAGTAATTATTTAAATGAGAAGCGAGGTTCAGTGTCCTCTGTCCCTGGGAATGGTGACCGCCTAGACGCCATATGGTCCTCCCCCCCCCTCCCCCCAACCCTCCCGCCAGACTGGAAGGCTCTGGATTCTCAAAAATCTATATATAAAAATCTAACTTAAAATGCACAGAGAAAGCACTGGAGTCCTTAACCTAACGTGTTGCTTTCACTGATCCACTTGCATTTTGGGACGATCATACGAGTCCCCAATATTGGCTTCACACTACAGGTAACAATATATCCTGGTCACATTTTATTAGTGAAACAATAACTAATCTTGCAGTTTTATTCCACAAATTGTACTACATTATTTATAGTACTGGTATAACATGGTATAACTAGGACAATGTTGTTGGGTACTGTACACTTGGTTGGATCTAAAATACAACCACACACACACACACTTAAAGACGTCTTCAGTGTTTCAAGATCAACTGTGGCTTAGTAAACACCTCTGGGCACACACACACACACACACACACACACACACAAAAGTCTTACCATAATTTTTTTCTCCTTAAACACTCTCCAGCAACAACACAAGACATCTGGCTCACGTTACAAGCCAAAAAATGTCGTAGCAATTCCCTCACTGAGACAATCCTCCCAATACATTGTCTTATCCCCACTTACGGAGAAAACGACTTAGGAATCTTTGAGAATCCAGCATAGATAAAGCGTGAAGGGGTAAAAAAAAAAAAGGCTTCCCCAGAATCCTTTGTCCGTATATGGGCGAACAGGGAAATATCTTGGCGACATTGTTGGCTACTCTCCCGTATGGTGTGTGTGTGTGTGTGTGTGTGTGTGTGTGTGTGTGTGTGTGTGTGTGTGTGTGTGTGTGTGTGTGTGTGTGTGTGTGTGTGCTTATATAAATATCATGTACATATTTTATTTTTATATGTGCTGTACGTACGGTTATTACATATTATTCTATTATGTAAACTTACTTGAAGATGGTGATTATAGTTCTCTGTTTGTGTTGCCAATTTGACTGTTTATCTGTATATGTTGGAGGTGAAACACATATGATTAATTTCAACACAAACCTGTGATGTTAATTACACCGTGCAACACACAAACACCTGTGGTTCATATCACATTCTTAACCATTATCACATCTCATTCCACACACCTGGAGCTTATTATAACCCACAGGTGACTATTAACAGGTTTTGGTTCACACACACACACACACACACACACACACCTGCAGTTCAGTACCTAAACATAACTAAATAAACAGACATCCTTTTGTGGACACCCTCACGCGTATAATTACCAGGTATCCTTTTGTATCCTGCAGGAACCCGAGTCGCAGCAGCAGCGGGGACACAGAGAGGGGCGCAGCAGAAGTCTCCCCAGGACACCTGCACCCTGGGGCGGTGAGTGGGCGTGGGCGCTGAAGGAGGTGTGGGGAAACTATACCAGCAAGGTGTTGTGTGTGTGTGTGTGTGTGTGTCTGTGTGTGTGTGTTGTGTGTGTGTGTGTGTGTGTGTGTGTGTGTGTGTGTGTGTGTGTGTGTGTGTGTGTGTGTGTGTGTGTGTGTGTGTGTGTGTGTGTGTGTTAAACCTAGTGGGAGGGAGACGGAGAGGGATGGAAGGAGGGAGTCAGAGAGGGGGAGATAGGGAAGGAAGGATTGGGTAAGAGGAGGGAAGGAAGGAAGGAAGAGAGAGAGAGAGAGAGAGAGACAGGTATAGACAAAAAAATTTAGAATAAAATAATGAAACGGCAAAAAGTATATAACAAGAACACAACACAATAATAGTTACTCCTCCAAACTACCAATTAAGGTCGAGCTAATTTAGGTCGAGCTAATTATACAACCACCCTAATTGAGTAATTACAAGTGTCGGCTCCTATCATGGTCTTCTCTTCTTAATTACTACCTGAAGATAATTGAAATGTTAAATTAAATACTTACGGAAATTTCTTCGACACCTGTTAATTGTAATTGGGTTTTGTGTGACACCTGCTAATTGTAATTGGGTTTTGTGTGACACCTGCTAATTGTAATTGGGTTTGTATGACACCTGTAATATATTAACGTGGAGTACAATAGAGTTAGGTTAGGTTTGGTTAGAGGTTAGGTTAGGTTAAGTTCCGGGTCAGAGTGTTAGTGAACCTTGCAACACGTGAGTCTTCAACACTGCAACACTGTATTGCCGTTCTCATTATCCAATCAAAACCCAGACGAAACATTCACCACTTATTAATACGATTCTGAAAGTCTCGTATGTCAAACTTAGGATATGGGAAATATTTACACTTATGGTAGAGTCTCAGTGCAATTTTACCGCCATATTTACACTTATGGTAAAGTCTCAGTGCAATTTTAACGCCATCTAGACAGCCATTTTTACACTATAGGTTAGGTTAGGTTTGGTTAGGTTAGGGTAGGTGAGAAAGATACGTTCTTACATCACCAGTTAGGAACTTTTGAGAATGTCTGTATATCGTAGCTTTAATGAGTTAGCCAGATGCCTTACTTTACAAATTAGTGTGTGTGTGTGTGTGTGTGTGTGTGTGTGTGTGTGTGTGCGCGCGTGTGTGTGTGTGTGTGTGTGTGTTTACGATCTTTGGGGAAATCCTGATACCTTAAAATCGACCATTAATTCTAAGTTCCTTTAGGTGAGTGAGTTGGATCATGTGATTTGAGGGTCGGGGAGGAGGGGAACAGAAACCGCCCTCCAACCCGGAATTAAGAGTACCTGTATGGCTTCTATGGGGGAAGGACAGCGAGTTAATACTAAATCCAGGTTAGGTTACTTCTTATTGTCTACTTGATACAGTACCTGGCCGGGTAAATCTATACGGTTTAGTGTGTGTGTGTGTGTGTGTGTGTGTGTGTGTGTGTGTAGTTAGGCCAAGGTAATTTAACTGAGGTAACTAGACTCACTTATTTGAGTTTTCTTTTTAGTCCTGATAAATATTACTTCAGTATTATTATTAAGACTTAAACCAGTTAACGGATGTAATAACAAGAACCTGCAGTTTTTACAAGGTTTATGGTGATCCAATGAGCCAGAGGCCTTTTGTAAATCTAACGTTAACATCCCGTTTAATTTACCGAGCTATTTAGGCCCTGATGTGGTCATTTAGATGGATCAAGTAGGTGTCAATTGAGTGATCCCCTTTAATACTTAACTAGAGTCTGTACAGAATATCGTTATCCTGATTATATTTTTCTATGTGATTATACTCTACTCTAATTTTTTGGATATAGTTCGTCAGGATTCTAAACTACCTGACGTTTAGTTTTATAAAGGAAACAAACATATGATAACATAGCCACAATGGATAATAATAAGCGTTAATTATTCCACAAACACCGATAAATGATTAAACATGAAAAACTAAAATTTAAACGCAATTTTTTCATGATCATTGTATTCACCATTGGGTAATTATTCTACAAACACTGGCGAACAATTTATGGAGTCATTTAAAGTCACTCAGGTCATTCACCTCGTTTTAAACGGTGCCTTTAAACGCCAGTAGTAAACAAACCCAAAATGGTAGTTACTCCTCGAATTGACCCTTGTTTTCTGTGGACGTGGTGGTGGAGTGTAGAAAACTGTGTAGGTAAGGTAACTTAACCATTTTGTGTGTGTGTGTGTGTGTGTATGTATGTATGTATATGAGGCAGCGAAGCAAGAGTACACATGAAATATTAGATAATGATAAGGTAAAGGTGTAGAATAGCGCTAACACCAAAAATTGTCTACACACTAATCACATGCTAATAAACACAGAAATGGAAACGACAAATAAAACTTGACCTAACATACCCATAGGTTGGGTATGTTAGGTCAAGTTTTATTAGGTTCTATGTATTATCGTGGTAATTTATGTGTTAAACAACTTATCTTAATATTGAGATTGATACATCAGCAACACAAATGGCATCCGGGAGGAGAATTGTGTAGCGGAGAGTAAATAATTATAATAAATATAAATCTTAAAATTATACTAGAAAGTTGTCGTTTCTTTTAATATACTTAAAATCACCAAAACAATAAGTATATCAAAAATAAAGTCAGCAAACAACTTCTGGTGGTAGCCTTTACCTTCACCTTTACCCAAAATATTAGGTGATCATAATAAACATAAATAATTACAAATAAAGATATGTCATATACTTTAACTTAATAGTATACTGTATATAACACTCGGTATGTAATTTGTTGTGGATATTTTACCGTGACAGGCTAAGTTCCTACTGACGCTATTTTACCGTGAGTGTACTCTGATTGGCTAAGTAATTTCTGTTTAGTATGACGGGTTCTGTTCCCCGGCTAGGAAGTTAGATAAGGTTAGGTAGGTTTCTTTGGTTGGTTAGGTTAGGTCAGGTTCTATTAGGTTTCTTTGGTTGGTTAGGTTCTATTAAGTTTTAGTAAATATCGCCTCTTTTATAATGATAAGTTTCCATGCACAACAGAAATATGGTTAGGTATGTTTACACCTACACAACAATAGGTCTAAATAAACGCCAAATGACACCATAGTCATGGTCAAATATAGTTCTTGCGTTGTTCGCTGGTAATAGACGATTAGCCAATCCGAGCGCCCTCACAGTAAAATAGCTTTAGTAAGAACTTAGCCAGTCACGGCAAACTATCAACTGCCTATCAAATTTGTATGTCTTTTTGTCTATTCATCTGTCTGTATGCAAACTTATACTTTCCATCATAGATTTTTCTAAAGTTAAGTGAGAGATATTCAGCATACACCAGTTATAAGTACAGTACTGTATTTTCACCTACAACATATGTGCTACTCCTAACACACACTCCTAACACACCCTTACAGCACATATTCTTGTCCTAACACACACATTCTTCCTACAACATCATCCACACCTCAGACACTCAGCTTCACAACTCTTATCATAACCTATACTGTACATCCATCAAGGTAAATATTCCCCCAAAATGCTAATCCTTCACCCAAGACTAAAGTTCCTCGCCCAACCCACAGAGACGCGGTAGCCGACGCCTGACCTCCATAGGGCACTCTGACAGCTCCGGGTTATCATCTCCTACTGAAGAACGACGTCCCCTCAACAGAATGCAATCAAGCTATCGCACCACTACCCACCCTTATAGAGACTCTGCGTCATCAGAATTTAGGGTGGGAGAGGCAGTCAGAGATGTGAGTCCAAGAGGGGCAATTAAGAGTTCGACGTCACTACCACACTTCTCTTCAGGTGAGGGAGTTTTGTTGGTCTTTTATATATGGTGTTAAGGTTTCTGAGTTTTGGGATGTCTGTATAATCTTGGTGTGGGAGTACATGGGGTGTGAAGTATACAGGTAATAGTTTTAATTTTCTTCGAATTTGATTTTAAATTATTCACCGCAGTCAAGAATCCATCGAGAAAATAATCATTATGCAGTATTTGTTAATATTTTCCATGGCTTGTACCCATAAAAGAATCATAAATAGGTTGACTCTCGATTTAATGGCATCGACGGGACCTGGACCGTGCCATTAAATTAAAATGGGGGAGGGGGGGGTGGCAAAATTTAAACACTCCACGGTCTAATCTCTGTAATACTGTATTTCAATCTTCTGCACAATGTTCAGGAAACTTTTTTCTTCTTTGAGTCACTAGTAACTCTGGTAGGTTTTTCAGGTCGCTTAGAAGCCATAATTGATGCAAAGAAAGTAGAAATTTAAGGAGGTCATACGAGCACAGCATAAGTTGGACTTAATGCCAAAACAGACTGACCGCAGTGCAGTGGGAGCGTTGCATTAGGTAGAGGATCTTGTGGAAATTATGGGCGAGCCTTTCAAATTCACGATCTCTAAATTTTGCCATTAATTGCGAGTTGCCGGTAAATCCAGTGCCGTTAAATCGAGGTTCAACCTGTAAGTGCTATCCCGATTAGTGGGAATAATTGGTGGAGCTCTTCCGGGGATGCTAGATTTCTTGGTAACAAGACGACTCTCTCAAGCCTGGAAAAATCCCATCCCTCAAATTTTTCCAGGTTCTGGGAAAGTTTCTCAGAATTGTACATGAATAGTTCATTAATTCATCCTCGGAATTTGCTCCCAGACCTGGATAAAAAAATTTTTTGGAGAGTTTCCGTAATTTTTTTCAGAATTTTTCAGAAGTTTATCTAGTATTGTATTCATTATTCATCCTGGAATGTAGATATCCTCTTCCCATTGGAGCATATATACATTGCTTACCCCACATGCTGGAGCATATACAGTAGAATGTCCTCATCCCAGAGCTTACTGTTTACCCATTCTTCACACTAGAGTTCTTTGCCACTAAACAAACACTATTGATGGTTCTGTATTGGTCCATATTCACAATGAGTCTTGATTTCTTTATTTATTTCAAACATTCACCTGCTTCATGTTACTGTATTATTATTATTATTATACAGTAAAAACTTCATAATTCGTACTTCCGTAATTAAAAATTACTCATAATTTGTAATGTTTTGATGTTACGAAATACATTAAAAAAAATTTTATATGTATTTGGTAAAATTTCTAATTATGAGAGACATTTACGAATATCTATGACGCATTCGTTGCTGTTGGACGCGACCTCCAACCTCCGTGTAAACAAGTAAATACGCGTGTCAGTCAGTTTATGTCGGTCGCTCGTCAAGTGCACGTCTATGGTTTACCGTGCATGCTTTTTCCACTTGTTTTTCCATCATTGCCCGGTGTTTGAGCCAATATGTCTGATAACCATAATCTAGTATACTGTACTTAGAAGCGATTAGATTCTTATTGGGGCAGATAGCGGAAAAGTGCCTCTGTTTTGTTTGTTTTTCCTTCAGGAGGTGTCCCTAATAATTTGTAAGGGCTAGAGTCCCTAGTATTGTACAGTATTTAGAATTATGGAGGTCTTACTTTATCATGCTTTACTTAAATTTTTCTCTCTATAGATGTTATTTAAACTTATGCACTCTTTGAAACCTCTCTTAGGTGATCTTCATTATCTCACTGGTTAACCCCTTGGGTACAAATGGTCTCTCTGCTCAATAAAATCATCTGGCATTAGACAAATAAAATATTAAAAGTGATGTCCAGTAGTGAACAGGATGAAGAAAATTCCATTCATATCATGAAAGGTGTATTTGAGGTTATATACAGGAGGACTTTACTTCTGAAGTATGAATTCATAAGTATTGGCTCTTGATATAGTTACTGTATATAACAACACGATCATAGACAAGTTTAATAATCAACTTTTTCCACAACACTATTACTGTATTGTTCAGTTATGGCTGTTTTGACTTAGCCATGCTGGTGGATTTTCTCTGTTTTTAATGGCAAACACCCGAGTGTTGGAATGAGTAGGAATGTAAAAGTATTTAAGAAAGGTATGCCTTAAGTTAAGGTATCTTATCTTTCCATGTTCATTCTAAACTTCCTTATTGGACACACAGTAATATGTTTCTTGAATCATAAAAAAATAAAGCTGCCTATTTGTAAGAATATAATGTTGAAACTTTTGACTCTGGCATATACTGCGTCAAGATTGACCTTTTACCAGTTTGAGACGGCTCACTCCAGGGTTGGCTCTTTAACTGTTCAGTCTTCTCTATGACAAGATATGTTTTATGCTGATCTAAAAATTCTTATTTGAAAAGAAGTTTTAAAAATTATGGTTTATTGTGTGTTTCATCTCTTGCTGAATATGGTCTATTCATTTGCCTTTTTATATAATTATACATTACTGTACTACTGTATATAGTTATTCAAAAGCAAGATACTTATACCCATCTCAGTACTGTACTTGAATTATTATGGTAGCATAGCAATGAAAACATATAATTTTTATACAATAGTAAATGATTTTCCTTATTTGCAGGCAAGGACAGTGGGTTTGACGAGACTCCATTGGTCGAAGATCCCAACAACTCAGGGGGTCGCGGAAGTCGTCCAGGAGGAGGGTTCATTGTCTCCGGGGTGTTCAACGACTCTTCCAGAATGTTTATCCCGGCTCCTCCGTCTCCAACTCCGGACTACGATGATGACGGAGACTCGGACGGGAATGAATCTGATATACTGCAGGGCTCTCAGTTCTATGTCGTGACGGATGCTCAAGGTGATGTCGTCAAGAAAAAGGTTACCAATCGGGATTCTCTGAGTGACGATAGTCTCCAGAATGCACCCGTGGCAGCAGGAAAATCATCAAAGGCTTCTACACCCGTGAAGAAGCCAACTACACCACTGCAGAACATGATTAAAGAGTTCCACCAAGGTTTACCTCCAGTTGAGCATGAGAACGGTTTCTCCGATGACTCTCTGGAAGACTCCACAGTTGCCGCATCCAGACCTTTTTCTATCAGCCAGAAACCTCATAGACAAAATTCTGTGGAATCGTTGGTGTCGGTGGAGAGTTCTACGGCCTCGTTTGATTACATGAATGCCGGACAAGCAAGAAATGCCTCCTATGAGAGACCAAAGTCAAGACCTTCACCTACGACTCCTGGGTCGGGTAGTAATGTTAAAGGGAACAATTTGAGAGATAGAAAAGATATTAATGGCAAAGTGAAAAAATCTGTTCCCAAGTCAGCAGAAAATGGCTTTGGTAACAGGGGTAGCTCGAGCAGGGAAGACGAAAGCAAAGGCGACCCAAACAATTTTAGCAGACAGAGTTCGAGAGAGAGTTCTCACAGCTCGGGATCAAATAGCTCAAAACCCGGTGAAAAGTTTGATACAATAAGACATATGTTGAAAGAAGGTTTAATTGAAGGTTTAGATGAGAGTCCACCTCAGTTTAAGCCACCTCCGCCTGCAAAGAAAACACCAAATGGATTACAGTCCGAGGAGAGAGCAGATAGCGGATTGGGCTCGACGTTTAGTACGACACGAACGGAAGAGAGTGTCGGTAGTGACAACAGATCTGATCTCTTTGGTACTCCACCATCACTAACCTCACCTGAAGATGCAGAGAATATAAGGAAAATGAAATCAGATAATAGGAAAGGAAAGGAGACAGTTCGCAGTTGCTCCTCCATTGCCTCAGAAGACATGGAGAGAAATCGTGATGAAGGCGATGAAGTGGAAATCCTAATGCAGGAAACTATGGAAGTCCCTCCCCTTCCACCACCCAGGGATGAATCGATGCACTGGACGCCTCGAACTACAGCACCTTTAATTCAAAAGGATCTAGCCAGAAGTTCGATAAGATCAGTGCCAACAACACCTTCCACATCAAAAAATGCAAGCTGGCTTCACAACAGCACCTCAGGGAAAGAAGAAATGATTGAGGTAGCGTCAAATCACTCTCACCACCTCGCAGGGGACAAGGTCACACATGTAGATGATCTTTATGGTCAGAATGAACAACAGGAGAGTGCAAGCGAAGTCAGCAGTGCTATTAATGGTTCACTTGCCACCCATTATAGTATCCAAGATAATGACAATCCACTAACAGATCGTGAATTCTTAGAGAATTTAAAAAATCTGGAGCCCAGACCTCGCCCCGACACCTTAGCCGTAATTACCGAAGACCAGGGGAGCATTGGATCCCGAGGCAGTCGTTCAGGTCGCCTGCTGTCCAGAATTGCAGATTCTGTCCGAAGTGGAAGTAGAACACCGACTCCATCTTCTTCATCTAGCTCCACCACTCGTGCCACCACCACTAAACTCACTTCCACCTCAAGATCTTCCACCCGTATCCATGGAGACATCATCAGAGAGCCATGGCGGTCATCCCTCCGTGAGTCAGCCTTGCCCTCGCCTCAGGAATACGCTCGCCTTCCGTCACTCAGTCCGTCTGTCGTACCACTAACCCGAGATGGCTCGGGACGCTTTAGGAGCATCGAAGATTTGGCTGAAGCAGTTTCTATGCCAGAACAAGATGTTACATTATCTGGGAAAAAGAAGAAACACTCCACGTTGCCACCAAACCTCACACCAGGAGACATGAAGAAAGAGAATAAAGAACTTCGGCGAGCCACTTCTCTTATGGTTGGCAAAAAAGGAAAAGGTAAGACTTTCAATTATTTTTTACTGTCCTATAATTCATTAATATTTGTTCTATATCTCAACCAGGCAATAAGAATAATCAGTGCAGATATTTTTATAATAACAAACTAAAATTATCAGTGTCATATGGTGATGAGTTATGATATTCACTGGCTGGATAAAAGAAGCATCACAGAAGGACAGTGTATTGTTGTGCATGTAGCATGAAGATGTGAGAATCTTGTTACTGCATAACTAATAGTAGAACTCTTAGTCATTGTTCCAATCTGATTTTCTGCACTTACATAAGAATGTTCTCTCCTCCCTCTCTTCTGTTGTCCTGAGGTAGCTGTATGCCTGTCAAGTCTCTCGGTTTCTTAATCATATAATAAAATAATAATTCAGGAATATATTTTAAGTCATTACAAAGACATTAATCAATAACAAGAAGAAATATTACAGTAAATTTTCTTTAGTTTGTGAGTTAGGCAGCCTATTCACTTGCAAGTTTAATCTTCAAGGTACTGCATTTGCTCTTATTATCAGGAGAAACATTATGTCCTCTAATAAACCCTATTTTAGGTTAAACAGATCTGTTCCTGACAATATAGACAAAATGATTTTTTCTTCCTGTTATCTGTCTCAATTTTGTACAAATATTCTTCCATTAAGAAAACTTGGAGTCACACCACCCAGTTGTCCCTCAGTCACCACTAACCCTGTACAGTAGTTTGTCATGTTAATTTGAGTAAAAGACCAGGAAGAAAGTTGTCTGGTGAAATTAGATACAAAATTGAAGAACAAGAACTTTTTGCCTGTTGTATTTCTGACTTAAACAATTCAGTCTTTTAAAAGTTGATTTATGAACTAATATAATGTTTAATATAATGAAAACTAGAGAGATGCTAGACTGTGGGATTAACTGAGGCATGATGTTCTAATGTGACAGTGAGTGATGCTATTAACATTTTGAAAATTTCCAGCGAGAATCACGTTGATTTAGTGTTGAAAAGTATATGGTGATTATCAGTAATTATTCCATTTTTTATCACAGTAAGTTAGTTGGATTATTACACCAACCATTGTAGCCAACAGTCCTTGTAGTGTTGTAGAAGGTAATGAACGTTCATTTGTCTGTCTCAGGGTCACAGTTCACAAGTTGATGCTTGTTAAAATCTTAGTTTTTATTTATTTATTTACAGCTGTTTATACGTAATTACTATAGCCATGAATTAAAGCACAAAAATATTCTAGCAAAAATTAAGAATATTAAAATAATTTTGTTCAACTTTGTGAAACCAGCTGGATGTGATCAGCCGGAACCAAAGTTGACCACGACTCCAGCAAAGCCACCAACGCCTCAAAACGATGAGCAGGCAAGCAAAGCACTCGTTTTATTGCCAGGCAAGGCACAAAAATACAAAGAAATAACAATGACTGGTGTTTGGCACAAAGAAATTAACATGAAATTTGGAGACAATTTGGAAATGCTAACTTTTTCCACTCAGAATTTTAGTAAGTCGCACTTTTTTAACTCAACTGAAGAAACATGAAATGTTTTGGTATCTACCAGACAGCGTATTTAATATCAAGATATACTTTCACGATTAATATACAATAATGTAGCATTTCCAAACAAAACAATCCATCCCGGTGCTTAGAAAGGTACATTACTTACTGGGGCTACGGTGTATTCCCTGTGGGGGCTTTGTTGTCTTGTTGCGGGCACCTGACCTATTGTGCTTGTTAACCTGTAGTGCTTTCTAACTTTACTAATGTAGATAGATAGTTAGACTTACTTACATATTTACCATGTTGCTCATGTGTACTGTACTGTGTTCTGGACAATGGTGTTGGGTCTGTGTGTCCAGATCTTGCTCAGTTGTTTGTCATTGTGAACCTGTTGGGCTTGTAGCATTAGTGGATCTATTACTTATATCAGAACTCTGTATTTGTATACAATGTCTTAAGAGTAAGAAGTTTTGTATAAATACAGAAGTGTAGTATCATTATTTATTTATCTTTGAAGGGTGGATACAAAACTACATAATCATAAGGTTTACTGGATGTAGTAGGTAAGTGCTGTAGTTGTACAAAGTGGAGGTATGTTTTTCATTGCAAGACATGATATCATCCTTAAGAAACAGGTTGATATTCATGGTGAGTTCTTCCCTAATGATGTGGAGGTTATTTTCAGAATTAAGAGGAGGAGGAGGGGAAGTATGAAGGAGATAGATAACTGTTATCTTGAGTAGTTATTGTTGTTATCATGGTTCCATTACCTTAGTGTCCTTTTCCTAAGCACCTTACTTTTTTACTTTTACTTACTTTTATCCTCTTCACCACTGATCGATGAAGAGGATAAAATTGAGTAAAATATTCTGAGTTATCGTATATTATCATCCAGGAATGTTAAGCTTCTGAAGATTTTTTTTTAATAAATATCCGTTATATAAAAGGTCAAAATAGCCTTGTGCTTTTCATCGAGTCTTGTTACTTTAAATGGTCCTTACCTCTCTGAGCTTTGAAAAACATTTGAGATATTTTAGTTTTAATTTTCTTTATTGATGTTTAATAATAATGTTGAGTTCATATTCTTTCAAAATAATTTTTTGAATTTAGGTCATGATTATCATATCAAGTTTCCCCAGAATCCTTGTATGAGTTGAATGTTGCGAAGGGCTCTTGAGTTTGGTCCAGTTGATGGTCTCACTGTTTACTATTTACATTTGATGAAGAGATAGACAGTTCAGGTCATCCATTCACCCATTTATATAAGCTGATGATGTTTTGGTGTCTGTAATCTGTGTCACATAATCCAGTTCTTAGGGAATAGCCAAGTCGGATTTGGTGTGGATTTTACCATATGTGTGGCTGTCTTGATTACAGTCCTAAGAACAAAATTATCTGCTTTTAGTGACCAGATTTGTCTTTTTTATCTTGAGCAGAAGTTGTTTAGTGTTGCAAACATTCTCTTACTTCACATTTCATGATCTCGTTATTCAGGATCACATTTTTATACTGAATAGTTCTTTCATATACAGTACAAGTCTGCCTCTGTTTGTTTTGGCTTCAACTTTAGCCTAACAGAAATTTAGTGCTGAATAATGTTCACAAGATGGATTAACAACTATCAAGATTATTTTCCCAAATTTGATGTAAAAACAGGTTGGAGGAAATTGGTGTCACGAGAGCCTTCATCGTGGACATTTCACAAGGAGCTGTGTTCTTGGATATCCTACCTGCAAACAGAGTTAAGACTGGAACTTTGTGTGCAAAGGCTTCAGCCATAAAACTGTCTACCAGGTCTGTAAAAGAACCCTTTAAGGTATAACAAAACATTACCTATATGGAAAAGAGCTGAGTTGAAGAACTTCTATATTTTTCATCATTATGGATCACAAAACATCCTCTTTCCACTCATCTGTTTTGAACAATCCAGTCAAAGAAACTGAACACACAAGTGCTCCTGTATCTAGATCCCTTCTCACAACACCCTGGATCTGTTTACCCTCAGAGTGTTTGGAAGTCACTGTTGAACTGTCTATTTAGGGAGTGGAAATGACTACCCCTGTACAGTACATTGAGTCATTTTAAGTTGAGAAGGTTCATCCTTTTTCCTCCACTTACAGTATCTTTACAGTCTAAACACTGAGCTACATTTCATTTGGGAATATCATGGAAAGGAGTCGGCCAGATGTCTTAAGTCTGAGAGTATCCTCAACTGTAACTACCCTGATATCACTCATCACCAGTTGCCAAAACCTTCACTATACATGGAAGGTGTTGGATCAGTACCAGAACAGGAAGCTGCCTCCCCATCCAGCAAGTTGCCTACTTCAGAACATTGTCTCAGCCTAAACACCATTAAACTGTTATGGTCTCCATAATCTCAGGAGGAATAAGGATTGCTGCCTTATCTTGACTCTGGCTCAGCACACCAACTTGCTTTTTAAGCTTGTGAATTTAAGCCTATTCATTTTTCAGGAAAATAGTCAATCCTCGTAGCTCCATGTCATAAAAAGAATATCAAGTATTTTACCACAATCCTAACATTCAGTGGAGGTAAAGCTGTTCAAGATACAACAAAAATAACGAACCTGATAATATAATTTATTACCCACAGCCTGGAGCAAACTTTTCACTCCCCAGGCTACACAGGGCTCATTACTGTGACTCATCTGAAGAAATATTCACAAGCAGTCAAAATCTTGTCTGAACATACTTTTCCTTTTATCCTCTTCACCACTGATCGGCTCGTTAGCCACTTGGGCGATCGGTCACGTTTCTGTTACGCACTGTTGGCAAGTACTGGGCATGCACCGGCTCCTGAATGTACCCGAACCTGCTCCAGTGTTGGTCAAGTCTTGTCTTGAAAGAGGTCACACTCGGTGCTGTCACAACACTTTCTGGTAGATTGTTCCAAGAGTTTACAACTCTCACTCTGAAAAATTTTGCCCTCACAGTTTTCTGGACTTGCGGGTTCTTCAATCTTGAGCTGTAACCCCTTGTGGGGTGAGCGTCCGCCAGCTCCAGGTAAGGACACTCGACTGAGTAGTGCCCCCTGAGATGCTTGTACACCTCAATTAGGTCACCCCTTGCCTGTCTGTAGTATAAGCTAGGCAAGTTCAGGCTCTCCAATCTCTCAGGGTAGCTGAGGTGCCGAAGTGCAGGCACCAGTCTGGTGGCCCTCCTTTGAACATTTTCAACCAACCGACAGTCCCTAGCATATGTCGGGGACCAGGCGGGGTGACAGTACTCCAGATGGGGAAGCACTTCACTCCTGAAGATCGTTACGAGGGACGGACCGTCTAGATATCTGAATGACCCTCTTATAAGACCCAATAATTTATTGCCTGATTTACCTTCTTCTCGCAATGGCTCGAGAATGTCGGCTCATTGTCAACATACACACCTAGGTCCTTCTCACATTGTCTCAAATAGTGCAGTTTCTTCATCCCGTTGGGACATATGATACGCCTCCTTACAGTTGGTGTGTCCCAGGTGCGTCCTTTTACACTTCGTGACATTGAATCTTAGCAGCCATTTCTTCGCCCATTCTTGGAGCCCACATATTAATTATTTTGCTCAAATGATCTTTACAAGTACAGTACAGTACAGTTTCTTTGTGTTGCACTTACATATGTTAATGTTGCAAGAGGAATACTTGTACCAGTAAGCACACAGTTTGTTATAACGATGATAACAACATCAAGTTCAAGTTTACAGGGAACTTGCTACACTTAAAACCCTCCAGGGTGCTTTACCTGGGTTAATTGATCTTGCATTTTATCAGCATATCTGTCCTTGCAGTGTGATTGTTTTATCTGCAACAGTGAACCTAGCTTAAGGTGAACAACCTAACCCTCAGGGCTGCATTACCCAGCTAATACACTCCTTGAAGGGTTTCTCTTTGTTCTCATACAAACATAGAAGAGAACAAAGTGACTTAAAAAAAATGTGTACAAATTGTGCAGATCTGTTCACTTCTGAGGTGAGAATCCAGTGTGTCTTTCAACCATTGTGCAAAGTAAATTATCCACATTACTGAATCATCCCCTTACCTTAGGGCAGACACCTACCCCCAGTACAGCATTGGTTTTATTGGCTTCATATGTCAACGCACTTGTTCAACTCAAATTGGTTTGTTATCAAAAGCAGTCAACTCTTGTAACATGAAAAAACTGAGGCAAAGTTGCCTTTCTTTAATGTGTGACTGTAATCTATAAATATTCAAGTGTTAAGCAGTAAGCTCATGGTAAGAGATGTGTTATCAGCCAGTGAGGTGCCTACTCAGTCAGGGGCAGTGGCTGGAAGTGTAAGCTTATTAACATATACTGTACTGGACAGTGTACACAGGTCAATGTGATGACATGACTCATCCCGTCTCCCTTAAATGGGGTTGTTGTCTGCTGGTTTTTCTTCAGGTTCACCAGCAGACTACTACTGAACTGAATTGGTGCATGGACAAAAATTCACTGGACTTGCCAGATGTGAAAGGTTAGGTTAGGTGAATTTTTGTCCCATCCTCAACTGATATACTGTTCCCTCAGCATAGTAAACACTGTAAGTGCTAACTGACAGTGTGGCAGACATTGAAACGAAGTATAATTGTTAAAAGGTACAATAGAGCATAAGCATAATATAGACCTTCCTCAGTTGATTACATGAAGAAAACAACAACAGAGTATTATTGTATCTAATTAAGACCAAAGGCACTCTTGTTAGTTCAGTGTTATGGCAGGAGTGTGAACTTCCTTTAGTAGCTGAAGGTGTTATAATCACTGGAGTCATATGTGAAAGTCTTGATCCCTAACCTGAAGTCTGTGTTATGGGGCTGCTATTTGAATGATTAATATGGTAAAATGTTATGTAGGGGTGCATTTTCTGGAAAGTTCCAAGAAAATTTCCGGAAACTGTCTCCAAATTTTTACTCTAGGTCTGGGAACAAATTCCAAGGATGAAAATCGGGCGCATTTTCCTGAAATTCTGAGAACATTTTCCCGGAACCCAGAAAAATCCTAGGGATGTGGGATTTTTTCAAGGTTTGAGAAAGTCGTTTTGCTGG